AGGGCCTTCTGGCAGTTCCCTCATTGCGAGAAGTAATGTTACAGGGAACCAGACAGAGGGCCTTCTCGGTAGTGGTGCCCGCCCTGTGGAACACCCTCCCTTCAGAGGTGAAGGAAATAAGTAGCTATCCTATCTTTAAAAGACATCTGAAGGCAGCCCTGTTCAGGGAAGTTTTTAATATTTAACGCTGTATTGTTTTTAATACTTGATTAGAAGCCGCCCAGAGTGGCTGGGGAAACTCAGCCAGATGGGCGGGGTATAAATAATAAATTATTATTATTATTATTATTATTATTATTATTATTATTATTATTATTAATGTATACTTCCGGTCAGGTCATGGACTGTACCTTTGTTACAAGCAACCAAGGTGTCACAAAGTTAGTGAGCAAGCTTTTGAGTTCTCCAGAATTCTTCATCGGCCTGAATATTAAGCAGATGGGGGGGGGGAGCTGACTTTATGTTGAAGCCACAACGTCTACATTTAGTCCAAGACTATGAGATATAATAGAGCCTAATCTAATGATGTCTGCTGGGTGCTGTGCAGGTTTCAAGTTGCACCTAAGGACTGCCGGGACAAATAAGCAAATGATGGCTGATCCCCATTTATGAAAGTATAAAACCCAGCAGTTATCTGGAGCTTTCTCCAACCCTTAAGCAACATACACAGGTGGAAAGGGAAACAAGAGTTAATTGACTTGTTATTCATAATTAGCAGCATTACTATGCTGCTCTGTAACTGAAGTTCTGAAGGCGGCATATATAAAAATTGTTAAAACAATGAACATCTTTCAAGAAAACAATATACAGTATAAAACACAGCGCAGCAGACCAACAAAATTAAATCAAAACAGGCCGTAAAAACTTTTAAAACCCCAAACATCAAAATCTATGGGGAATATAGAGAATAATAAAGAAATTCTCACTTGGCATTGAAAATAGAAAGCAAGATTCTGTCTCCTGTCCCACGTTATGGACCAGGATGACTTCCCTTGCTTTTTATTTGTCTTGGGGAATACATGTACTGTATAGTTACAGGAGTGAGGTGCCAAGAGTCATAGGACATGCCAAGTCCACTCGTGGAGCTACAAGCAGTTTCAAAACAGGAAGCAAAGGCAAGAACGGACAGAGGTTTTACAATGGAGGGAAGTAAGCAATGGAGTCTCCAAAGGATCTCTGCTGGGAATTGTGCCATCTTGGTGGCTTTTAAAAAAATATGAGCCCAGTCTAGGGAGGACTGATCTACATAGCCACGTGATGTGTAACAACTAAATGGAACATCCCTGTTCAGCAGCAGTATAGCCGAGTCCCACATCGGGGACTCGGGAACAAACTTTGCCTTCTAAGTGAGATGATGGGAGTGAATGAGAGTCCAAGCGACTTGTATGCACAGGGGTGGGCCGGGAGCGCAGGTTTCCCACAACATCGATTCACTCATCTCCAGGGGGGAAAGTCCGGTCGTGTGAAGGGGGCCTTCCGGGAACGAAGAGGGGAGAGCCCCGGGGCAGCTGGCGACCGCTTGGAAGCCGCTCCGCTCTCCCGTCCCGCCTCGCTGTGAGTGGAGATGCCGAGCGCCACTGGGCGAAGCAGCCACGTTGTGTCGCCCCCAGCGCCGCTCGCGGGAGCCCGGGACGCCTCCGGGGATCCCCATTGGCCGGCTCCGTCGGGCGCGTCACGGCGGGGGCGGGGCTCCCATCAGCTGTTTGGGTAATGCCAGGAAGCAAGTGTATTTTGGAAACAATGCCGTGTGCGGCTGGCGGCGGCGGCGGCGGCGGCGCCTGAGGTTGCAGCCCGGGGACTTTCCGGCTCCCGCTCTTTCCGCTGGCCGCGCTCGCTGGCGCTGCTGCTGTTGCAGCAGCAGATCAGATCAGATCAGGCGAGGGTTCCGCTTCTCAGGGTTCGCTGATCCCGCCTTGCAGCGGCTCCCGAGCCTCTTGCCTAAAGGAGACGCTCGCTGGCCGCGAAGCCCCGACCACAGTCCCGCCCAGGCGGAGTCGCAAGTAGGGCAGCAGGTCAGTAGTGTGTGTGTGTAAGTGTTAGTCGCGCGCGTGTATATAGAATTATATATAGATGTTTGTGGGTGTGTAATATTATTTGACAGGCGTTGCCTACAGACGGGAAGGGCGAGTTAACTCCTGACTAAGCATCGCTCTCATGGGTCGCCTTGGATCAGATCTTCATTTCAACTTTTAACGGGATTGTTGCATTTCCCAAGTACCTACTGTTACTCGGCTTCAGCCTTCACGATTAGGTGGGCTGTAAAATTAAATGAATGAATGAATTCTCTGAAGGGCTTCGTTAGAGGTATACGGATCTTAATGTTCTGCGATCTCAATGCACTGTGAGCCGATAAGTAGAGCAGAGGAGCACACCCTCCCCCCACAATCTCTGTATTAGTTTGGGGGTGGTGCTTTGGGGAGGGGGTTATCTTACTTTTACAATTTCAGCGTCTACAGTTAAGAAAAACGTTTGTTGGCAAATGTATATCTGCTTCACCTTTTCTTTACATGCACCAGAAAACTGGGATCTTATGAGGTCACGCAGCCTTACCCCTTCCACTTTTTCACCTAACTTTCCAGGGAATAACATCATTCCTCTGAACAGTTGAGCAGAATGAAAAGTATCAGTGATCACTGAGTTTCTGATGAAGGCTGCCACTTTTTTTCTGGCAAGGCTTCTGTGCCTCTAAAACAACTACTCTGCAGTCAGAAACTCAAAGGGAAAACTTAAATGTGTTGGATTTGTACCTGTCAGCTAGCTGTTAGGACTGCCACTTTTGTTCTGGGATAACTTCTATCTCAGACAGATTAAGTGAACTAGTGGATACCAACAGTTCAACCATCTCAGTGGTTCCTAATCGCTTCCTTCACTGTGGCTTCTTGGCATGCTGTAAATAATATAGTTCAATTCATCTTTCACTATCTCGAAATAGAAATACTTGAGCCCCTTCCCTTGAGAGACATCCGTAGTAAACAGATCTCGAACTCTTTACATAAAGCAACAGATCAGGCAGGTGCCAAAAGGAGTGATTTTTCAAAAACTGCTTATTTGCTTTGTGTTACTAATAAAAAAGGAGTCATTTCCTTTAGGTGGTTTGGCCACTAATGTGCTGCGAGACAAATACTTAACTAAAGGATCAAATGACTTTATATACCAGATGTGCTCTGCAAAGTACTGCGTTTGTCAAATGGTCTTAATAACCTTGGAGTTTCTTTCATGTGTGTGTGTGTGTGTGTGTGTGTGTGTTGTAAGGATGTCTTTTGGCCTCATCCTGAATTGAATTGATGCATTTCAGTCTTAAATCTCTGAGGAACAGAAGGTGCAGGGAAGAGTTAAAAAGGGAATTGTGAAGTCCAGCTTGCTTTGTTTTGGTTAACTGGCAGTGCATGTGTGTCCTATAGCCTTCCTCTTCGCTTCGCTCTTGAGAGCAGGCAAGTGGCAGCAATGTTTTGTTCGAGGTTTCTTTTTTTCTGAGGGAATGCTGGAGGGAGATGGAAGAATGTATGCATTGTATAGTTCCCAACAGGTGTTTCCAAGTTGGGAGGACTGCAGCACTATTCTAATTTTACATGATTATTATTTTTTTTTAGAAGTTGCTTGCTGAACTGACTTCCTTCTTTCAAAGGGATATGATTATTATTTATTATGCTTTGACAGCTCTTTCAGGAAATGTAGAGCAGCTTATGCGGGGCTCCCAGCTGCTGACCAGGCTGGAATTTTCTATAACGTTATAAATATAACAGCATCAAGTGCCCTCAACTTGCCCTCCTAAGTGATTTCTAGGGTAGGCCATGCCTGTGCTCTATATTCCTTATCCTTAAATAACCACTGTAAAGATTTTCCTCCCTTTAAAAACCTGTTCCTTCTCCAAGCTTATTTGTTTGCATCCTGTCCTTCTTCCAAGGATCGGAGACTCTTGTCAGCCTCCGAGTCTGGTGAGGTGGATAGCCTGAAGGAGAGGGCAGAGTTTCTCCCAAGCTTCATGCTCAGCGAAGCCCAATGTCCTGGTCACTGCACAAAACGCCCACACAAGGCAGCCCTATGGTCTCTTCTCTTGGACTGAGCCCCACGGAACACAGCTGAACTTGCTTCTTGGTAACCGTGCATCATCATTGTAAGGGAACACTTTGGCTTTGAGATCTGCTGTGCATAGAATCTTATTGAATGTTTTCGACAAGTGCTAGGGAACCTGTGCCTCTCCAGAAGTTTTCATAGGATCACAGAATTGTAGAGTTGGAAGGGTCCCCAACGGTCATCTAGCCCAACCCCCTGCAATGCAATAATCCTGCCCACAGCTGCCCATAGGTGGGTGGTGCTGGGCTGCAATTCCCATCAGCCCCCTACCAACATGGCCAGTCATCAGGGATGAAGGGAGCTGTAGTGCAACAAGCTCTGGAGGGCCTCGGGTTCTCCACCACTTTTATAGATCTCTGCAAGCACATTTTTTATAGTGAAATATATAGTATAAGGCCCTGACTACAGTGGCAGCCGGTGTCTCGAGACATTTATGGGGATTTGGGGCCTACCCTACTAGATAACCATGCTTCAGTCATGAGCTCGGGTGCAGGGCCGGTCGGAAGTACCGCGAGTGATAGCAAGGGCCAGCAATATCCTTCCTGCCCCCAGGCCCCATTGTTCAAAACATGGCCAGCTCTGTTCTCCTCTTTTTTTACTTTTACAGCCACTTGTCCTTCCATTTGCAGTTTCAAGACTTATCCTTTTCCACTTGCCCCTTGCTGACTTTTCACTTGGAAGGTTGTCTGAATTCATGTAACCGAAGGCACCTCCCAAGAAGCGGAAGGAAAAGCTGAGAAGATTCTCTTCTGCAACGTGTATTGTGAGCTTCCAATGCAACTAGAAGGAAAAGCAGAGCATGTGATACTCTCCCCCCCCAGCCTGGACCAACAAGATATTACTCTTACTGTTTCAGGAAATGTTTACTCCTATTCCACTTACTTGTAATCTGTAATCTTCATCTTTCCTCTTGTACTTTAGATATGGTGTGTGCATGTTCTGGAACTTTGAGCTTAACAGCCCAGTGTTATGAATTCCTATATAGAAGTCACATTAACCTCAGTGGGAATGGACTTATTTCCAGGTAAGGGTGATTATGATTGAAGCCATCTAGTATCAACTTGCACATCTTGACTCTGAAGTAAGCTCCGTTGAGTTCAGTCGGAAGTTTCTCCCAATTGCAATTTTAAAGCAGAAGTTTGGGGTGTCTCTCCCTTTTTCTTTCCCCAGAGACCTTGGAACAGGGATTGTTAAATGATCTCCAGTGGCGACATCCTATGCTTAGGCTCTGGATTTACATTACTTATCTTGCAGTGAATTCAGAAACAATGTTGTTTATGTTGCTGCCTTCTGGTCTGTCTTAAAGTTCTTCTTACTGCTAGTTAAACTACAACTCTATGCCTGTTGCATGGATCTGAATAGCGGGGCCGTAGCTGACATGAAAACCAGATCATATGAACATCAGAAGACCAGGCCAGCATCCTACCTGGTCCAGCTTCCTGTTTTCACAAGCAGGAGCTGAGCTCAACAGCATTCTCCCCTCCTGTGGTTTCCAGGAACTGGTATTCAGAAGCAGTATTCTGTTTAGTGAGGATACATCACATAGGTTGAATCATTCAAACGTAAGACAGCTTCACAGCAGAGTGAAACTTATCTGGAATTGGACTGTATTTGCAGCTGAATCCTATGCAGGTTCAGTTGGAAGTCCTTCTGGTTTCTGTAAGACTTATTCCCAAGGAGAAGCATGCAACACTCCTCTGTGCCAAGGCTCTTGATAAAAGTCTTGTAGGTTATATTGCACAAACCACCGCAAAGCAAATGACCCAAAGATTGAATTTCACTTCCTTGTTCAGGGTCTGGAGGCATTTATTTTGTGTGTGTGTGTATGCGTTTAGATTATGCTACTTTTAAAAGGAATAACAAGGGACTTAATTGCTGGTTGTAAGGAGCTTTAAAAACACTACATTGCCTGCTCTTGTAATCTCTGACCCAAGGACATGCCCGTGGACATCTCTGTTTTTTATGTTCAAGCATTTTATGGAACTGCTAAAAGGAACTGAATCTTTTTCTTTTTCGCCACAGCTTTTCTTCAGAGGTGGTCACCAAAAACTTCTTCTTTTGAGCAGTTCAGTTTTAACAGAGAAGGGAGAGATATTTGGATTTGGGAATTCATCAGAATTTCCAATTTCTTGGAAGATAAGGCTATGTTCTACTGCGTTGCAGTATGCCTCTGAATAACAGTTTGTTGGAAATCAAAAGTGGAAATAGGGACTGTTGCACTCATGTTTTGCTGGTGGGCTTACCACTGGCATCCATTTGGTCACTATCAGAACATGATGGTGGCCTTTGACACAATCCCAGCAGAGCTTTCCTTATGTTTTTTCTGTCTTAGACTTATAGCAATGCTCTGTCTTCCATCTCAGTGCCTTTTGATCTTTCTGTGCAGAAGAATGAGAATTACAAGTTGTTGAACTTCCGTCCACTGCACAGAGGTGGTGGGTGGTCTTCTTTGGCAGCTGGGACACTCAAGACTTCTAATATACCACTCAGGCATCAGGTTGGCTCTTCTGTATTTCTCTATTCAGTCTGCTGGCATTTCGGTTTCGGTGGATGCAGAAGTTTTGAGAGGGGGGCTTGGTCTTACTTCTTCCCTGATTATTGAAAGGCCAGTTCTGTTGGGCAACATCCCAACAAGCCTCTTCCTCCCCAAGACCCTCATTCATCCTCTTTTCCTCTGTTGACTACATCATTCAGACTGGCAACAGAACCCAACATCCTTCACTTCGTTGGGTTCCATCTTGTGTGGGCGTTCTCGGAAATCAGGCGGCTGATCAGATGGCTAGGAAGGCTTTGGGATAGAGGGACATTGATCTTGGACATAAATGGACACAGGTGAACAGCAAAAGCAGTGGAAGGTGGGTTCTGTAGGTTGGAAGTTATTCTCCTTTTCTCCAGTATTGGAGGATTTTGGTATTTTTACAATGGCACACAAGTTAGTTGGCTCAAGAATTTTCATGGGGCATTGTGCTCTCTGGGGTGGCTTGTACTCTGGATGTTGTGAGGTTTGTAGGATGGAGAAAACAATTCATCATGTTCTACGGGATTGCTTGCTGTATATGGAAGACTTAGGACCGCTATTGTGTAGTTTTGTGATGTCTGTATGTTACAAGTTTTCTGTGGGGGTTCAGTGGGGTTTTCTCTGGGGTTCAGTGTTTGATAGTTTATAGCAATTCATGAAGGATACAACACCATGGTTGAAATGTGGCCTTTCCCCAGACTTGCTATGCCATTAAACCTGGAGGAGAGGCTGCAGTTATGAGCAGTCACCAGCAATTCCCAACTTGTTACTCAAGAAGGAAGTAATGCTGTCTCCCACCAAGAAGCAGTTATAAGCCTCTTATTGAGAACTTCTATTGATTTGATCTCCTTACGCTGGCAATAAGAAGTTCATCTTCTGTCTTGTCTTTTTGGCTAAGGTGGTTTGAGTTGCCAGTGACCAATCTGCTCCAGGTGTTTATAGGATTATAAGGGTTCTCTAGATCCATTTTGATCTCGGTTTGGAATATTTTATCAACGTGGGGCACGCTTTGGATTTCTTGGCTTGGTTACCAAACAGTCACCATCCAGTCCTACTTGATCCTCAAGAGTTTAAGCAGTGTATTGCAACGAAATCCCAGCATTTTGTAGATCCTGCTAGTTGTGATTAGGTTCCAGCACCTGGTGTCCCAATTCTATTCTTCAGGTACATTCATCAGTCCCAACTAATACCTTGAAACATTTTTGTGTGATTGTAGAATCCTCTGGATTTATTGAGGACTTTGAAATCTAAGCACTGGGTATGGAAGGTCTTTATACATGTATATGTGGTTGTGATGAGCTAGCATAGTATTTGGATTCTAATACATTCATCATGGAAGGCTTTTCTTGGACTTCCTCCTTGTGGCTACCGAGTTCATAAAAAGTCTGAACCTTTGGGTGCAAAGGAGGGAAGACTGTCCAGTTGGCCTCCATCATTTATCTCTTTTATCCCAAGCCTAATTCACAGGCTGTTTCGTGAAGAAGGCGCAAAGAAAACCATTCATCCTCTCTAGGATATTCAGTGGCATTTTATCTACTTTCTTTTTTTGAAAAAAATTGCAGGTGAAATGGATTCCCCTGACTACCTGGAGGAGGATTTCTCCAATCTAGATGGGCTGGAGGATGATGTCTTCCACTCTGAAGACTGTGGACTTGCCAGTCAACCCAATGAGATGACATTTCCTGGCATTTTCACACAGAGTAAATCTTACAACTGCCTTCTGGGGAGATTCCAGCTCTTCCCACTTACACACTGTTGCGGCCCAGGCACCAGGCATGCCAAGCAGCAAGATAAGGCAACTCAAACCCTCAACCCATCCTCTTCTAGCCAGGATGTCATGTTACCTTGTGGAGTCACTGAAGAGCCCCAGAGACTCTTCTATGGTAAGAATGATGGATGTTTCTATACTTTTGCACTCAATGAATTGTCATGTGTTAGTATTCATGGCATTCTTAGGTTACTTCTTATTCTTCTAAAGAAATATAGTTCTCTCTATGTGTGGGACAAAGGACTGAATTTGGAGGATCTTAAAATCTATATGGTCAGTACTGCACCATGATGCATGAAATTGGATTTGGGGAAAACACAATTCATTACCACAATTCATCTGAGTTCTGAAAACCTCAAAATATATATGCTATTTTAAAGAAGCAAGTTCCGTTCCTCATGGAACTTATATTGTCAAAATAGCTCCTTTATATTTCTTCTAAAGGCAACAAACTGCTTAGAGCAGGGTTTCCTAAATTTGGGTCTCCATCTGTTGTTGGACTACAATTCCCATCATCCCTAGCTAGCAGGAGTAGTGGTCAGGGATAATGGGAATTGTATTTCAAAAACAGCCTGAGACCCAAGTCCAGGAAACCCTGGCTTACAGTATCTAATTGAAGTGTGGATATTTCAAGGTGGGAGAGGCCTGTCCCATATAATCCACTACATCTCACCAACTTCACAACAAGGAACAAAACCTTGCAGCATACCTGAATGCCACCTTCTCAACATAAAAAAATGTGTTGGTTCAGTGGTACTGTCCATCATTTATATGGCACTTATACCTGTATGTCTACCAATGGGATGCACTTAAGTTCATGCATCAAATATCCACCCATCAGCACTTTATATTAGGCACACAGACCTATAATGTCAGATATAAAGAGCAAGAACAGTAAGATATCAGCGGCTTACCATGTTAGTTTCCTGGACACAGTGTTGTAGATCTCAGAGTTACTGTTCTTAGGAACATCAAATCATGGGGATAAATGGTGCATAAGATAGTAAAACCAGGATTCATTCAGAAATGTGAGAGAATTAGCCTGGACCTTCATAGAGATTGTGGTTTCTTTGCACAATTAGCACTAAGCCTGCACCTTACGCACATTTAACTTGTACGCATTCAGCTTCATGCACTTGGCAAGTTTAAAATAAAAATTAAAAAGGGGATGGGCATCTGGGAAAAAAGACTTTGGCAATCCTACCCACCATTGAACCCAACGTGTTTTGACTATACGCAATTTTAAGCGAGATCCATGAAATGTACTCTCCGCTCCGCTCCAAAGTTGTGGTCTTACTGAGTTGCTATCCCTTTAAGAACTGCATACAATGTTTTCTTTTGATCAGCTTTTAACAGACTAAATTACCTGGCTTTCCCTGGTTTCAATTTAGCATCTGAAGAGCTTTTCGCCTATGCAAGCTCATGCAATTTAGCAATTTAAAAGCTTCTTCATAGTGAAACAAATTTCTGCCCCACTCCTTATTTGCTCTCCTCTCACAAGGAGCTCAGAAGGAAGTCCCATTAAATTACTTCCAAGTAAGTATGTACAGGACTGCAGTCTAATTGATTGAAAATCTTTTGTTGGAAAAGGGAACCTGGTGAACTGGGCAGGAGATCTTTTGAAAAGGTGTTAATTATTTTTAAAGCAGCAGTGCTTAGGAAGTGTGGGGACTTGGAGTAAATATTCTTCTGCCTCATGAAGGAGGGAATGCCTCTGCAAAGAGATTGCCTGCTGGGACACATTCAGGTACCAACTAAAAACAGAGAATACATTTTTCATGAGCACCATTGTTCTATCCAAATGCAGATGCCATCATTTAACATGACAATCCTAATGGGAAGGACAACTCAGAGGTGGATCTGGCACCAAATACAAAACCCTATTGGTGGGTGAGGGGGCAATGGGATACAGTTTTTCCTTTCCCACTTGGTAGAGAATTAACTGTGCCAGCTGCAGGGCTGAGGTACTTTAGAACTATGGAAGGGAGTCTAGGAAACAAGATCCACATGCAGACCTTCCAAATCTGATGGCAGAGAGCAGGCATAGGCAAACTCGGCCCTCCAGATGTTTTGGGACTACAACTCCCATCATCCCTAGCTAACAGGACCAGTTGCCAGGGATGATGGGAGTTGTAGTCCTAAAAAACATCTGTAGGGCTGAGTTTGCCTGTGCCTGGCAGAGAGGGAGGCCCACAGCATCCAACAACCCCCAGATGTTGGGCCTATTTGAAATCAAATCAATCACATAACTGGGGCAATTCAGGGTCCATGATTCTGTTTGGGGTTGTTTTTTTACAGAAAAATAATGTAGCATTTACAGTGTTTGCATGTTCCTCTGTGGGTTTAAATCAGAGGTGGTGAACCTTTAGCCCTCCTGATGTTGTTGGATTACAACACCGATAATCCTTGACCAATGGGGCTGGGGCTGATGGGAATTGGAGTCCAAGGACACTTGGAGGGCCATAAATTCCCCATCCCCAGTTTGAGGGGACGGTTGAATCTTTTTATCTGCTCCAAAAAGGTGCCCAGCTGGCCCCGTGATACTTCTGATGAAATTCTATGAACTGCTGTTGCATAAAGCAAGGAATCCGTGGTCCTCCAGATGTTTGCTGGGCTTCCAACACCCATCAACCTCTGCCAGCGAGACCAGTGGTTGGGTGTGATGGGAGCTGGAAAATCAAGCAAAATCTGGAGGTCCACTGATTCACTGATTTCCTATCATTGGCTTAGAGACTAAAAGTGGCCTATAATGTGGCACATCCGAGTCCGTAAAACACACAAAGGTTTGTGAACAAATTCATCGAAAAAATACAGTAAAACCAAATGCTCATCCAACAATACTATAAGAAGGATAAATTCCACCCCACCTATGATAAGATGAACATGACAAACAGGCCAGAAATCATGCTGAAGTATGACACCAATTAATAACCAAAAGCTTGGACAACCAGGGAAGTCTTCTGGTGTTGAAAAGCTGACAGTGATAGTGCCACGTGTGTTTCCCTGGGGGGAGCATTCCACAAACAGAGTGGCCCATTTTTGCACTGCCAACCTCTGCACTTCCCTCAGAGGAGCCACTGGGGAAACTGCCCCATGGAGGGCTTCCTCTTTTACCTGTGAGCATCCTTAGGTTTACCCAGCAGAGGCAGCAGTACTCTAGGGTGGCTGTGAGTGTCATTGTAGTTTCCTACAAAAACCCAGAGGTCCCAGTGTAGTGTCATCCTAGAGCATTGTGGGAAATTAAAATGGAGTCTTATAGACTCAGTTGCCCACTGTGGAGGGTCCTGAGCAGGTATTGTCATGGATCCCTTAGCTGTCTAAAAGGTGGTTGAAGTTTAGCTATAAGTGCTTTGCTGAATTCAAATGAGACATTTTATTTCCTTGATTATGATCTTGATTTTGCTGTATTCTCTTCCGGTGTGCTGTTCATGGCAGAAGGATTGTTCACATACGTGAGAGGCTATAAGCACCTGACTCTTCTCTGATGTTTGGCAGGGAACGCCGGGTTCCGTTTACATGTCAACCCCATTGGTTTCTCATTGAGTCCACACCTCCGGGAGGAACCTCGGGAAAGCCCACAGGAACTGCGAACTGAAGTTCAGATTGCACGGAAGTTACAGTGCATTGCGGACCAGTTTCACAGGCTGCACCTACAGAGGGTAGGTTGTCTTTTGGGCAAGGAAAGTGGAGTGTTGGTGGTGGAGTGAGGGGGGGGGACTTTTAGTCACTGTCGAGGATGCTTTATTTGGTTTGGCCAAATGTGTTCTCTCTTCTTTTTCTGTTAGATAGCCTACACACACACACACACACACACACACACACATTACTGTTTTAATAATATACATTTGGGAAATTGTTTTTTGAACCATATTTCCTATTTGTTCAATGGTCTTTTTAAAAATAATCATTCTGTTTTATTTTTCGGGGGGTTTTTCCACCCTCCTTCGCACAAAGCATCAGACTGCAGAACAATATTATTTCTTTACATAAAGCCAATTTCTCTTGCAGCACGACCAACAAATAGGCCTCATGAGGAGTTATGAAGTTAGGAGCAGGCTTCATTCTTAAATGGCCCTCACCAAATCCTGTAGGACCGAGTGAGAAGTCAGCAAAATGGTTGAGGAAAGGGCCTATCTGCTCTTCTCAATAAACTGTGGGTTGACTCATGCCAGAGAGCAAGTTTAGCCCCCACCCCAGATATATGCCTCAGTACTGTGCATACCTTTGGTTTCTCACATGCATTCTCCCCCTCCTCCTGCTCCTCTAGCTTTTTCACTTCAACTATCCCAAAGTCTCCTGCTCACTCAAATTCCCCTTGTAGAATCATAGAGCTGGAAGTGAGTTAGTCCAATCCCCTGCTCACTGCAGGATCTGCAAGCCATGATGCGAATGAGGACCCCTAACAACTCTCAGCACCCTTAACAAACCACAGCCCCCAGAATTCTTTGGGAGGAAGCCAGGGCTGTTTAAAGTGGTATTGTAGTGCTTTAAATGCTTGGTGTAAATGTGCCCTTGGGCTGGACTGCAGTGTACAGTATTGATAGCCACATTAAAGGATCCTGGCTCCAACCCACTATTTAGGAGTACTGCTTTGTGTTTTAATTTCTTTGCAAGGAAAGGCACCTGTATAACCACAAGGTGTCAGAAGTTTCACCTTGGGCTTTTCTGATTTTTTTAATATGTCAAACCAAAGGAAGAAAGTTAAGGTCTTGAACTTCAGACCTCTCTTCTTTGCAGTCTGAGAGGAGCTAAGGTCACCTCTGGGCATAGGGTGGCCCCTCTGATCTACATCTCCCCCAGACCCCCAATTACTTCTGTGTAAACTACCCTCACTGTTGCTGCGGCTGGTCTCTCCTCAGCCCATGTGGAACATTCTTAAACAGAAATCTCAGTGCTGAAACAAAAATAAAAATTCCCAGAATTCTTTGGGGGAGAGCCAAGACCGTTAAAACCAGTTTGTTTTAACATACCCAGAATGATGCTATCTGGGCCTGGGCAGATTTCCACTTCAGCTGTGAAGACTTGCATGCCAGAGCTTATCATTGCTGTGGGTTCTGCTTCTCTTCCAAGGATGAGTGCAAGTTGTGTCACAGGGCCAAAGCCTTGGTCCGGGGCCAGAGAGTTCTGTAACCGAACATACCAAGCTTTCTAAAAAGGAAACCTGCACTTTTTAATAATGTGGATGTCTCTTTGTAAGATAAGATGTTCATCTGAGCCGTTTTAAGGGACATAAATTCAGGCGCATTGTCTCGCTGTGGCTGTTTCCAACTGGATGGAAGTGGGAGCAAGATTCAGGAAGTTCTTGTGGGTTTGGGTCATGTGAGGAATGGATCTGGGCAGTGGCTGTGGAAGGCGAGAGTCTGACATTCTGCATCCATAGATGTTTCCTTTAGGCATTCTGGGACAGCTGTCTATGCAGATTCGGGATCAACCCAGGGAGAAGGATGTGCATGCACTTTTTTTTTTGGCTCATGTCCCACATGGGGCCAGACATTCACATTCCAGCTGCCCATTGTTTATCTCAGAGTCTTGTGCTACCATCTTATTTATTCCCTTCATTCTCAGGACTTCTTTTTACATTGTTGGTTGGGGTATGGTTGCACTTGAGCTAGGGTTTTTCTTTGGCAGGTGGGTGGGTGGGTGTGTTCAAGGCAAAAGAGTGCAGTCTCCAAAGTTATTTGATCTAAGAAAGCAGATGTGAAAAAAGGTTAACTGGAACATTTAAAACCAACTGTTCATACTGTCTGGTGGCATCCTATTTGTTGCTTTGTGTGCACGTGGAACGATCACATGGGGAGGGATTTTTTAAAATAAAAAAAATCTCCCCTACCACCACTATGGACATCATTCTCTCCCCCACCCCTCACTCCTGCCCTTAGATAGTATTTCTTCAATATCCGTCCTGGAACTCATCTGTGGCGTAGCTAACTTTGCCCAGAGTAGTAAAGGTTAACTGGGTGCCTTTTCCCCCTCCTTCTTCTGTCAAAAGAGTCCTGAAGGGAAGCCACAGAACTGGTTGTAACTCGACCCTTTCCATCTGGGGAGTGTAGCTATCCGATGTCTTTGTCTGGGAAATGTGTCCAAGAATGCCCCAGGAGGAGGGGGGGGGAATAAAACCTGTAACCCAAAAAAGAAAATTGGCCGGTCCCCTCCCTTTTCTTCATCTTCGGGCAAGGAGTGTGTGTGTTGCCGTGGCACCCGGGTCCCTGAGGAACTGACTGCAGAGCAAAAGGAGGGTGAGAGAGAGACTTTCTGTGGAGGCCGGAGAATCGCGTGTCAGCCAAGCATGTGGAAGAGTTAGTAAACAAAAGCATCCCTCTTTACTACGACCTCATGCAGCCAAGAGAGGAGGGGCTCTTTCCCTTTCAGCTGAAATAATAGAGTGTTGTAAAGGAGAGGGAGAGTCCTAGCTGAACATTTGTTTTGTTTTTAAAGAGAGAGAGAGAAGCCCTGGACACAGGTGGGGAAGAACTTAAGCGCTGGGTCTTCACCGCTCAGTCTTTGGACTGATAACTGGCACTCTGTTGGCAGGGAGACTTTTTGTGTTTGTACGGAGCGATGTTTGAGACCATTGAAGGTTTTATTTATCGCTACGCTTATGCTAATACCGTCTTTTCCTTCCCGCCTCGCTCTTTGCCAACTTTCTCCTCTCGTTTTTGGCAAAGATAACAGAGCGCTGTCCAGTCGCTTTTCTTTCGGTTGGGAAGGACGTCGGAGGCCAAAGGAGACTTTGTCTTGCCCATGCAGTTGCCTCCGTCTGGTTCAACGGCTCCAAATGGCACTTTTGGAGCAACCCAAAAGTTGGCCAAAGGCTGTGGCAAGCAGCTTCTGTTCTGCTTCGCTGACAGGACAGCACGTAAACCGCTGGGGGAGCCTCCAGGGTGCCAACTGAAAGCTGAACTAGAGTAGATGTACTTCTGGTGGCATCCCACCAGTGGCAGCACCTGAAAGTAGAGCAATCTAGGAGTGAGACAGGGCAGCCTTCTATCCACAGGATGCAAGGCTCCCCCATTCCCCTACATGCTCATAGATCTGGCCTGATGTTATGGCAGCCACCATAGATAGGTCTCAAGGAGATTTGCAAATATACCACAAAACAGCTAAAACAGTTTTTAAAAACAACTGAAGATAGGCCTAAAAACAGTACAAGATGAACACCTAAAGCAGAGACCTTTTCCTTGTCAATATTGGAGACCAAGATTCTCTGTAAATTTATCAAAGAAGATAAGCTATGGAGCTGCTGTTTGAGGTAGAAGACTATCCAAAACCAGGCTTCCAGCATTTAAAATGTACATAATTCCATGTGCATATTCTCCATGGGAGTAGTTTCATTGGGGTTTGAGCTGACTCGTATTCAAAAAGATGCACCCAGCTCTCTTCAACTGCTCTATTAATTTATTAGACAAATTACACTCTCTTTAATATTCAGTTTATGTGCTTTCAGTGTAGTGGGCCCAAGCCTGTGGAACTCCATGCTAACTGAGATTAGACAGGCCCCCTCCTTGCACATACTGTAACTAATACTTCCTTGCTCCATTTTAAGGTGGTGTTTGGCTTTATGATATGTTCTCATTGTCCCATTTCCTGTGGATTTATTTTTACGTATACTGCATAAAAATGCAGTCAAGCAGTATTGATACAGGGTAAGTAGGCAAAGTAATGTTAAAGTCAGATTCTGATTTGCAGGATACCAAAGTACATTAATCCATCTTTTTTAAACATTAAAAAAAAATGAACCATTTTGAGGTTCTTTATTTGCAGGGCCTCAGACTTGATTGTGGGATGCCATCCCGTCTAAGGAACAGGTGTTGGATCCTTTGTGTGCAGAACATGGACCTATAGTGTTTGCTCACAAGTAAGACCTGCTGAGTTCACTGAGGCTCATGGTGCAATCCTAAGTATAGGAAGATGGTGCAATTTATGACGGATTAAATTAAGATGGCGTTAAGTTACCATTGGGACAGGCGTGGCGCTGTGGGTTAAACCACAGAGCCTAGGACTTGAAGATCAGAAGGTCGGCGGTTCGAATCCCCGCGACAGGGTGAGCTCCCGTTGCTCGGTCCCTGCTCCTGCCAACCTAGCAGTTCGAAAGCACATCAAAGTGCAAGTAGATAAATAGGTACCGCTTTATAGCGGGAAGGTAAACGGTGTTTCTGTGCACTGCTCTGGTTCGCCAGAAGCGGCTTAGTCATGCTGGCCACATGACCCGGAAGCTGAACGCCGGCTCCCTCGGCCAATAAAGCGAGATGAGCGCCGCAACCCCAGAGTCGGTCACGATTGGACCTAATGGTCAGGGGTCCCTTTACCATTATTCCAAGCTCCATTCAGGAGCAAGGCTACTGCTGGCTGATATGGCCTTTAAAATAGAGTTTGACTTGCACAACAACCCTCTTTGCTTGCATATGTTCCACCGGGTTGCCAGGTCACGTGACTAGGCTGGAAGAGATTTTGAATAGGTGCAGGTCTCTCTTTCTCCTGCCCCACTTCTGCAACCCTCCCTATTTCGGACTTAAGTTGGTTCAAGATGCACAGACTAAGCCAGAACAGCCATGTTAAGGGACGCATGCCGGCATGTTGCTGGCCGAGCTGCGATGAGGGAAATATGCTTGCGTAGCTCTGGTTCAGCAAAGACAGCCCAAGATCTCCCTATTCTAAATTT